TAGTCACTATGGTACTAGTTGAAAACTTGAATTTTTTTTAGAACTCGGATGACGAAACAGACCTCATCGTTAGATTCGTCTTGCGAAATCTACTTATCCAATCAATTTTCGTTGAATTTCGAGACAGTCGAATTTTTTACATTTTACGAGACGATTGAGTGTCGAATGACCTAAAAATGAGATGTGAAATTACATTTAAAAATTAAAAAATAATTTAAAATTAACTTAAATAAAAATATTTTGAACTTGAATCGAGACGAAATTTAATTGTTTCGGAACGAAATCAAACCCGAACCCAAAAATGGAGGATGTGTGGCGCAACTAGGCCCAAACATCTATGGGGTATAGAGAGGAAAAATAGAGGATTCTCAAACTTCTCTATATGATCTACGGCTCTACGTTGGTTAGAATTCTTCGGGTCAAAAACAAAAGTTCATCTACATGACAAAAGGTAGTACCAAAAATCAAAGATTTTGACGAAGAACAAAAAATTGGATTTTGGAGGAAACAAGGATTAGACCTTGTTTCGGGTTTTGGGAGTTTTCTACCGTTGTTTTACACTTTAAGATGTAGGGTTCTTTTTCTAACTAAGTTTATTTTCAACCTAGAGTTCCATATGATATAGGTAGCATAACTTAAGATAAATTCTCTTGTTTGATATACTCTTAATGTAACTAGATTATGAGAAATGGGTATAGAAATATGTTAAACAATCTTGCACAAATTGAGTTTGTAGAACTTATTTGTTTGGTAAATTCATGAAAATGGTGATAATTGAGCATGATTGTGTGTTACATGATTTGGTACTTTGAAGGTGTTTGATAAAATATCTATGTTGATGTAACATGTTAGTTTCATTGAAAATGTTATAACATGCTTGGTTATTGAGAATAGTTAAATTTAATTATAGTATGAATTGAGTATTTAGAAATTACTTGTTTGTAATTTTTTGAGAAATATATTGATTGGGCATGTTAAGTGTTTACATTTATGCCTTGAAGATGTTTGATGAAATACCTGTGTAGATTAAGTGTGTTATTTGCATTGATTGTACTATAACATGCTTGAGAGTTGGTGTTGGTATATGCATATGATATATTGAAATTGAAGTTCTTTATGGTGGTTGTATACTTATGATATAATTTACCATGAAAAGGTTGTTGGATATTGAATTGTTCATAATTAGCTCATGACATACTAAACATGGTTGAGAATTATAATTGTACATTTACATTGCATATCAAGTAACATTATATTCGTGGGCATTTGACATGATTATGGATGTGTGTGCATATTTTTGAATCAAACATCATTCTTAATGGTTGAGGCGTGGACTCGGGAAGGTTGGACCTAGGTCCGGCTAAGTTACAAAGTTGCATGAAAAAAAAAATTGTGTTGGGTATAGCAAGAAAGACTAGATACCCCATTGTGTTTAAGATCTGGTTATTGGTTTATACACTTCTGACGATACAAGTTCAAAAAAGTGTAACGGTATACAAAACTGGCGATGAGATTCCAAAAATTCGAATACCTAATAAAGACACATAATTTATTTTAAAAAAGGTTATTGGATGTGTAACATCAATGGAGGGGGCTTAGAATGCCCGGATTCATACGCATGACATTGCATGTATTGAGGAATGTAAAGGCTCGGGTTGAGTAGCATGTGTGAGTCTTGTTTCATATCATGACATGACATTAATGATTCTATTGTTGAATTATATATTCTTGAATGGAGTGATTGTTGCTTATGAATTGCATGTGAACATTTCATATGCATCTAAGTTGAGGAATAACCTCTTTCAGAGATATCCTATTGAGTGTGACTCACCCTTTATGGGGACAATATTTCAGGTGTGGGACATGCGCCGGTAGACGGCTCTCATTCGGGTCTTCGTTGATGAAGAAAAGTCGAATGTGACTTTTAAACTATACTTTTGTATAACTAAGATATAAATTAGTTTTTAGGCATGTAATGTATGCAAATGATTGTATGTAATGTATGTAAATGATTGTAATCGAACTCATAGAGACTATATTTAATGTAAAACTGCATATTGTTATATGAGTATAGATAAATAGACCCGGTGTGGTCACTATTATACGATTTCATATATTGCGTTTTGAGTAAAGCTCCCCATACAAAGGAGATTCTATCCGAATTTTGTTAAGTTATGGATCCTAGTAAATGGGGTATAATGACGTGGTATCGAGTTACACGGTATCCACGGATATTTTACGAGTTGATAAGTGATCAACCAGTTGACGGGTGATCAACGAGTAGACAAATGACTCCCGATTTTAGGGGCATCACAATATGTGGGGGTATAATTGACTTAACATTATTAAATATAGATGAAATAAGAAATCAAAAAATTTCACATATACTTATACTAACATTTACAAGTAGTATATATATATATATATATATAGATTAATTAGTGCGTTTGTTGTGTTAAAATCGAATTATTCATGATTGACATTAATTTGGCTCGTTTAATATTCTTGTTTCTTAAATCATGACATTTTTGGGATTACTGTTGAGAATTAGTCAATCATAATATACTAATTACATGTCGGGTTTCTATCTTATCTAAAATTCCCACTTTTGTTTGACAGTTATCATCTCACAATTTTCCTCTGCCAACATTAACCTACACCCCCCCCCCCCAAAAAAAAAAAGTTATCAAAATTACATTCTGCCAACCTTATGCTATAGTTTTCTCCTCATATTAATGAGCCCTTATGTTCAAGTCGTGGCTTCACCTATTAACAAAGGGTTAATTTGTATGTAATAGATTAATTAATCATTACCCAAAACCAAAACTTACATTAGGTTCCCAAATTATTTTAGTGTTATAACACTGTTGGCAGGGGTGGAGCTGCACATTGCTTTGTGGGGGCAGTTGCATCCTCTCAATTTTTTTGTCCAAACATTTTTTATATAAATTTTTATATATTTTAAATTCATCCCCACTAAAAAACTCATACATTTTAATTTATCTAATAATTTCTAACATTTAAGATTAAGTTTTTTACTCAATTAAATGAACTTAGTCATTATTTATTTAATTGCATCTCTCAAACATGTGTTCAAAAAAATTTTGAAGTTTTCGATTCCAAAACATCGATTCCGACCTTGAATGGAGATTTCGATCAAGGGTTTGATTTTGTAAATCGATTCTAATTCTGATTCCATTAATTTTCGACTTCGCAGATACAATATCAAACCAGACTCAAATTTGATTTTCAAATTCTTACACACTAGTAGTTGAGAGCATGGAAATAAAAAAAAAACAGCCTATGAAAAGTTTGCAGAAGATATAACTAAGAATACAGATCAAAGTTGCATTAAAGACAAATTAATTAATTAATGGGAGAGATCCGAAAATTAACGACACAGAAGTTCATTGGGATAGGGGGTGTAATTTTGTTAGTTTAATTTATATATTAAGTAAATTATGAATAGCACAATCAACAAGTGGCTGTAGTTTAGTGGTAAGAATTCCACGTTGTGGCCGTGGAGACCTGGGCTCGAATCCCAGCAGCCACATTTGCGTCCTTTTTCTATCCTGAGTTGTTTTAATTGGGCCCAAAGGTAATTGGCCAAGATTTTTTTTGATTCACACCTAACCACTTATTCTAATAAAGTAAGGGTCAAGTGGAGATTTATAGACACACTCACAGACCTGAAGCTACCCGATGTGGGGCTGAGATTGAGTATCACCTTCTACTTATATATGTCCTCATATACACACCGCTGAAGATGGTTTCATTACGAAGAACCAAAGCCCATTCTCTTATTTCTTGCCTGTCATGATATTTGGAGCATTTGTTACGGGCCTCAATGGCCCATTGTGAGCCATTTTGGTATATTCTTGTCATAATATGGCACAAATTCATATCTAACGGTCTTTCAGTCATCTGTTGGAGTGTAAATACAGTTTGGTTAATAGGACGAGTCTCTATTGACTTGATGAATCGTATCTAAACTTTAGGTATGAGTTTGACTACTTGCCGACTATGCGAGCTTTAATTGACCGTTGCACATATTGAGAAGTCGGGGCGTGCTCCAAATGGTAATTAACTCCCAGAAGGTGCTTGGGTTAGTTTTGAAAGAGGTAATTTTTAATTATTATCTTGTTCTCCTTCTGTAATTTAAATATAATAGTTTTAAATTAATGAATTTAATTTTTAAAAAATCAAATATCACCTCCAATTCACTTTGTGGTTGATTACATGTCCAGTGTTTTTCTCTATTATTCTAAGTTCAGATAGTAGTCGTACATAGTTTGGATGATTAATTTTGGTTATGAACCAAAAGAAAAAGAAAAAATATATTTTAAAAAATGGTACAAATTGATCAAGTTGCAAAGCTCTGCAGTCTAATTAATTAAGCAATTACTCTTCTACACAAGAATTTGACTTCCAAACAAATAAATTTTCTTTTTTGGTTTGAATAAGAGAATAAAAACCAGCCAAATCACAGTGAGTCACCAAAACATTAATTGCAAGAAAAACTTAAACTAACTTTTTCCTCCAATCAAAAATTAAAAAAAAAAACCAAAAAATACACATAATTAAAGAACAGTAATGTTATTGAAATCTAAAAAAAAATTTAATTTTTCGATCTAATAATGTAACAATGACATGATCCAATAAAATTATTGTTACTATAAATCTCAAATTTTTTCATTAAAATTCTATCACTTAAAACGTTATTAATTCAAAAAATTAAATTAATTATTTAAATTTGAATAACATTACTTTTTCCGAGATCAGAAGGCGGTCTAATAACTCTATTTTTTTGGGCTAAGTAATCTTTATACCTCTTAACAATCCACGATCAGAATTAAAAAAAGGGCACATGAAAGATTAGAGGTGTACAAGCTCATGTACTACCAAGTACAGATCGCAGAAGCGTAAGTATATAGGAGCTTGGTTATCCTACATCCCACTCCTATTACAATATGCAGAAAACAGCGTGATTGGGCCAGATCTCACAGAGCATGTTGATTTTCCATCAGCACCGTTGATCCAATCCTCGGAGCTGGGGACGCAATCCCACAGGTACAGACCCCTACCGAAGCATGCCGCGCAAATTCAGATGCTGTCCGTCCGATCTCTCCAAAATCATCCTTACCTGTCTGATGATGAACATGCGGGAATGGGGTCGAGAGTCCATGAACCACAATCCTATTGTTATACACGAGATCAAGATTCTTGATCTTCACGTAGTTGATCCTCATTGGAGCCAATGGACCTCCACCACCGGCGGTGGTAACCACCAAGTTCTCTCCGCTTTCCGCCGTCGGTAAAACCGTCTCCGCAGGCAAATCCACCAAATCAGAAGCCCTCAACAATTTGTTCGGCACAATGTGGAACTGGAAATTCGACACGTACGAGTGTCCTCCGGTGAAAATCGACGCATCGTCGAGAGCGAAGACCGTCATAACCCGGAGGTTTACGAGCTCGTTGTACTTGTCTCTTAGTGCGAGAGAGACTACAGTGTATCCACTGATGCGTAGTCTAAGCATGGCGTCTTTTAGCATGATGCGCATGATAGAGAAGGCTGGAGTGGTGGGTTGTTGTGGGAATGAGAGCGAAGTCATTCGCTCAACGTTGCAAGAAAGTGGAGAGAGGTGAGAGACGAGGCCTTGGAGGCCATGGATGAGGATGTGGCCGTTGTTGAAGAGGTCTGGATGAGAAATTTCTGCGCCGTTGATGAAGACTTTATTGGCGGTGGAGGAGGTAGCAGTAGTGGAAGTGATCGTGAGGCAGCGATTTGGTGCTAGGGTTTCGATCTTTGTGCCGAATGGCAATGAGAGGAGGAAGTTGAGGGGGTATAGGCCTGAGACGGAGTGTTCCTGGAGGAGGATATGGACAGAGCAAGAAATGCAGGTGAAAAGGGAGGAATCAGTCGGTGCGAAGATGGTGGTGGGAGAGGTGGTGGTGAGAGACGTGTTGGCGGCGGTGGAGAGTTCTTGAAAGCCCAGAGATGAGAGGATGGAGGCGCTAAGATAATGAGGGTATGTGAGGTCATGAGATGGGGTTGGGACGGTGGTAGTAGCGGTGGTGGCTGTTGTGGTGGAGATGAAGAAAAATGCCAAGATGATGAGGAGTTTCGGACACGTGGCCATGGAGTGTTTTGACCTTTGCTCTACAGAACGAAAAGGTTTTGGAATTTAGAGAGAGAGAGAGAAGTGAAAGAGTGTTATTATAGTTAGGGAATCTGTTTTTCCGTTGGCTTCTTATTACTTCCTTTAATTTTTGTTTGACAGAAATATCCCTGATTAGCAGATTAATTACTTTCTGCCAAAACAGGAACCACAAAAAGGGAAAGAAAATGAAAATCCATGGAGAGAGAGAGAGAGAGAGAGAGAGAGAGAGGATGTGGGAAAAGGAAGAATCTTCAATCTGATGAATACCTTTATACAACCAACAAGAGCACATTTCATCCAAAGACCGGAAAAAAATTAAAAAAAAAAAAAAAAACATTCTGTTTTATGCCATCACATTGAAAAGAAGTAAACAAAGAGATAAAAAGTGTTGGTTCTTCAACAGGGGATTCTACATGGATAGATCAGCATACTAACCAATGAACCCATTCGCCAACACAAAACAGAAACTTTCTGGCACCAACCAGAGAGCAGACGAGAAGCACTGGCTGGTATCACAACATTTCTTGTGACTTCCTCACACATCGGCTAACCTTTTTCTTGAATACATCCATCCTCTCTCTCCATTCCTTCTGCAATTACATTACCAGGCACCAAAATTGTTCAGAACAACACCCAGAACAGCTAATGTCAAAACACTGAACTTTGAGTGCACGATTTCATGCAACATTAATACCACACATTAAAAAGAAGTTAAAACAAAGATGGTAGAAAAAAGCATACAGAATTATCTACTCTTTTGCATGTCAGTGAGTAAAAAATAAAAAATAACTCAGTGGCAGCAAAATACTCTTCGTGGAACTGGACCGGGAGTGAGGACTGTTAAGAGAGCTTATATCCTACATCGAATAATTAGAACCACCAAGTTAGTTTACATACTTCAGGAGTCACTCTATCCATTGTCAATTGGTTTTGGGTTAGATGCTCTAACGAGGACCCCATAGTCCGCTTTGACCTTTGACTAAAGTCTTATCACATGTGGTATTCACTTCATGCTGCAAATTTAATTATCTTGTAAGGCCTCCCAAGATCCAAAATTCCCTCCTGTTGCAACTCGCAAGTTACTTCTACAACAGAAGTTTTATCATTGGCATACATGAGCTCCCAACTTCTACCACTCTTCTGATTGCAAACCACTCTCGGGATTTAATCTCAGGATAAACCCTAAGGATAAGGAATATGGGACACCTACATCATACAAAGTTGTATCACTTCCCTGATCCAAAAAAAAAGAAGTATCACTTCAACACAAGGTGACAAAAGTAAATAACATTTTGCACATGCCCTATAATACATAAAACCTACTTCTCTACTTAAATACAACTCCACCTCATAAGATAAAATAATGTAAACCAAACAACCAAAACTGTCAAGTCCAAAATGACTCACAAACTAATGACCCACTATGTACTGTCTGAATGAAGAGCACTTTTCCCTTTTCTGTTATTTTTTTCCCACTCAATTGAATGCATAAAGAGAGAGAACATCCAGCAACACCTGATCTGCCAAGTTTGCACAGTCAGGTAGAGCATGATAAATATAAATGGAAAAAAATCCTAGCAAAGGCACAGTGCACTAACGAGGAAGGGATCCTAAACCTTTTTAACAGAGGAATACAACAAAGCATTATGGGAAAATTACATGAGAATTAGCATCTAAGAATGATCTTTGTGTTCCGACGAAAAAAAATATTTAGGTTCGAATGGAACCATCAAATCAAATCTCGGCCAGGAAGCACTACGATGAACCATATGCCAGGAAAATTACAAACCAGCAAGTAATGGGAGTCATATTGGTCGTTGGATAAGAAACGAAGATACCCATCTACAAGAAAACTATCAATGGCTAATTATGTTAAAGAATGGATGAACACGTCAAAATTATTTTATACCAGCCAACTAAATTATCATTTAACAGTTCACGTGAAAATTACCAGTACTCATGAGAGATTACTGATCAACGGAACCACTTGACCAAGATGCTTAGTTTGCACCTCTCAACCTTTCTTCATAGAGCTGGTAGAGATCGAATCCCTAACCCCTTCAACCACTATTAGATGGCATGCCTACTCTACCTCAGTTGTCAAACAGATTTAGCCTGCAATTCCCAACTTCTGGAATAAATATTCAAAATACACAGGAAAACAGCCATCTTGATTTAAACCAGTCGCTAACCTGGAAAATAGACCGATTTTATGTGTGACCAATTCAATATTGAAAGAGATAGCAGCAATCGGTGTGCCTATCTCTTCTCAGATTGTGTGTTTCAATCATAAACCATGTTTTACATCTTTTTGATTGGAAAGCCTAGAATTTATATAAAAATATCTTAAATAATAGATTCCAAAAAATTTAATCACCCAACTGATTCTTCCTCTTCAGGATCAATCTTCCATGTTCCAAAGCTATGATAGATGTCCTAAAAGTGCAGCAAATATGACCCACAATCCTTACCACTCATCTATTAAATAAAAAAGATCTCCACCAACTTCCAACTCAGGAAAGATTTTAGGGGTAACCAGATTTCTCCTTACATCCCATGACAAATAAGAAGGTAACAAACATTTCAACATCTAGAAAGCAGCTGACCATCTTTCCTGTATTGGCAACCCAGCCAAATATCAGCCTTGGGAAAAGATTATATGAAAACTTGGACAATAAAGGTAGAGTCTACATGCTATTTAACCTAACATCAGCCCCTTGATCATAATGCTTATTAAACATTTTTTTTCCAAATTTATTTAGAAATGGTCTTAAAGCTGGACAACATGTGTTGCAATTCACCTAACGACAATTAACTACATTGAAGGGCATAGCATGCACAGTTATTCACAAATAAGGAACCAGAAACAATTTCCCTTTTGTAATGGTAAGTAGATACCACTCAAGGTCAACTAATGGTAAACCGATGCAGACATAAATAAACACATACATACATATTTCGCATGCATCAATTAGATTTTCTATGTACCAACTACTACTTCAGTCAACCAACGTGATGCAGAAATCAAAAACATTTTAAACATTCTAACATGTAACATGAACATCAAAGGACTTTGACTCTTAAAGCTGTAGGGAAATTGTAATCAGTACACTGAGTTGTCACTTACTGCAGCTTCTATGTTCGCTGGAGACTCATCATTTGGACTAGAAAGCATCGATATGATGCTCAAGACTATACTTTCAACCTGTCATAAAATCATTTCTATGATTATCATATGAATAACAAAAATAAAGAAGTGCAAAAGCACAATGATCCATCTCTCTCCCTCTGCATGTATTTGTGGAGAAATTGTGGACGCATGCACAAGAGACTCACATAGTTACCAAATGAATTTCCAAAATTTCAGGCTCAAACATAATTCCATGGACCTAACTTCAAGTCCTCAATTAACCATTGTCAGAATAATTTGGGTCTAAAACCCACTACAACAATCCTGCAATTGATGTGTTTTTAAAAATCCTACCAAAGTGATAAATACATATAATATAAGAGAACCATCAGGATTTATTTCTGATTTTATTCCCTAGTTATATTGTTTTTCTTCCCTCTAACCACCTTTTTTTACTGTTTGGCAGGTAATCAAAAATCACAGTTTAAGCTCAACAATTAAACCAAAACACAAAGACCATGGCTTTTCCATAACTAATTGGCGTATATGGGGGCATGTGGGTTAGATTATGGAGGGCGTGGAGGGAATAGAACAAAATATTGTCATGTCTACAACATACTGTATGGACAGGCGACCAACGCTCACTTGCAAGCTCATAGCCGTTTGGATCATCTCCAGGAGGATGAAGTATCGATATGCAAACCTTCCCATCAGGATACACTGTAACTCATACAGCAACCAGAATCCACTTCAAGAAGTGCACCAGTGACATAATAAAAGCAAACAGATAAACTTTTCAGAAAGCAACCAACCATTCGGATGCCACAACTCTGATGTAAACTTCACTGCTGGTGGGCTGTTTGGGTAATTTGGCGGAAAGCTCATGATGGCAATGAAATATCCCCCCTCACTACAAATTGACAATTCTCAATAAAACAAAACAAACAAGAGAATGATTCACTAACTCAAACGATAACTGAACACAATTTGAGTGGCATTCTTCTATATGAATCAGAGAGAAGAGGGAACAAATTCAAACAATTCCCCGTATCTCCAATACAAAATTCCCCACAAATATAAGAAATTAAAAATCTAATTACAACTAGAAATCAAAGAGTTGTTAAGTACACTGGCAATGCATATAACCCTGACTGACCTAGAGGCTAGAATAAACCCCTGCAATCATAAAATGCATCTAACGAGCATATCTCGCACCAAAGGAGATCATAGGTTTAGAATTCACCATTCCATCCCAAAAACTGATGACAATTACTTGATGTACTCTAAATAATATTAGTAACCCACATCACAAATTCAACAAACCAACAAGAAGGAGGGATACCTGAGGGAATACCCAGTAAAGTGATTATGACAGGACATGCATAATTAAACCTATTAACAAATGACAACAGAAAAATATAGTCTTCGAGGTAATATTGAAAGGTAAAGCTTACTAAAGAGTGTCGGGAGGTCCAATAACTGTGACGCTCCATTCATATATATTGCTCTCGTCAACCAAACCGGCAGAGAACCCATCAACCGGATTTTTGCAAAGATCTGCTTAGCAAAAGAAAAATGTCAGATTACAAACAAAATGGGTTTTGAGCTCTGGATCATTCAATAGACTGATATACAAACCAAGGATTACATAGGGTACCTCTGAGTTGTTTCTGAAGGAGGAGGCTGGCCTGTGACTGTGTGCCCATGAGAGCGAGAGAGAGAGAGAGAGAGAGAGAGAGAGAGAGCTAGGAAAATGGGATGGGGTAGAGAGCAATAAAGGCCACCGCCGAATTGGGCTTTATATAAGCCGATATTGTGTACCTATGGAGCAGATGTGGCAGCAAGTTCTAATTGCAGCCCCTCTATGGACTTGCATGGGCAGAGAGAGAGAAGGGGAAGGGGGGGAACAAATCTCCTATGGCAAATATTCATACGATTGATGATGGAACCAGAGAGACGGCGCCACGTAATGGCCTTTGCGAGTTTCAAAGAACAAATTTTAAAGTAAAAACCCCGTCAACATGGCGCCTGACTTTTTTTTTTGTTTTTTCCTCAACTCCACTAATTTTCCCCACATGGTCAAAAGTAGACCGATTATTCGTACCAGAACTAAAGTATTTTAAGAGTATAACTGGAGAACGAATCCGAATTAACTTAAACTTAATCAAAAAAGCAGAACTTTGGTTGAAATTTTATATATTTAAATTGAGTCTGGGCAAAAAAAAAATCAAATCGAATTAATTTAAGCATTGTCCGAGTTGAGACTTAAAGTTATCGGGTTCAGCTCGAACATATTTAAAAATAAATATATAAATTAACTAAGTTCAATCTTTCGTGATCGCCTCTCTCATTCAAACCCTCACCCTCTAAGACTCGGACATCTCACTCCCAACCTCTCTCAATCATTGATACTCAATAACCATTAACAATCGACCGTAAAATTTTCAGATTTTGTAAAAAAAATTGTGGCAGTGGATAGTGGTTGTGTGGTATTTTGGTTTAACTTCTTGTGGTGTGTTAAATATACGAAGTTTTAAAAAAATAGATTGATAATGGATTTGAACGAATCTAACCCAAATTTAAATTGAATTAAATAATTTGAATTTAACTCGAGTCCGTCCAAATATAATTTGGGTAATATTTAGGTTGAATACCTCGAATTGAGGTTGAAGTAAGAATAAAAATTATATACCTAGGATTAGATTACGGTTAACCCCTCAACCTGTCCAATCCGCTTGAGTTACACTTCTAGAATATTCATAAGGGATAAATTTTTTATGTCTTGACACCCAAAGATACATCAAATAGTTCAAATTCTTTATATGAGTAATTAAATTAAATAATAGATTAGGTGTCAAATAATTAATTCATATTTTAATTATTACTACATTTAATTAGTAATTTATTTTATAAATCATTGAATAACTAATATGTTATTTATTTTAGTATCTCTCCGACCTTTTTAGTCAATTGCCTATTTAATTATATGATCGAATTATTAATTTTTATTTTGTTAAATAGATTGATTATATCACTTATAATATTATTACATACCAAAAAATAAAATATAAAATATATTTGACGACCGTAAAATTTAATCTGATAACTATATTTCTACATTTTGTATAATTATTTAACAAATATAAAAATTTACTTCTTCACTTAGATATAAAAAAATTATATATAACTATACTACTAATAAATGAGTTCAAAAGAATTTAAAAATTTTTGTAAAAAAGTTCAAAATAAGTTGAAAGTCAAATAAAAATAAAACATAAAATTAAATGAAAAATATTGATGAATATAATTGATTTTATTATAATAATTAGAGATAAAATTAAAAAAAATTAAAAAAATTTCACAAACTGATATTTATTAATAATATAGATATAAATATAGATACAAATAAATTACATAAGATTGTAAATTTTATCTCATCCCCTCAAAGTGATTGGAAGGAGGTCGTGAAGGGTAGGAGTGTCAAACGTGTTGAATTGAATTATATTGTATCGGGTTGATTTTGAGTTTGTGTCAAAAATTTAGAAAATTGATATTTCACAAACTGATATTTATTAATAATATAGATATAAATAATTTTTTTAGAATTTAGAAAACACTACCACCGGCCAACACCACCATGACGTCCACACCTCCACCATCACCACCACACTCCCACTCCACACTTCCATTACCCTTCCACCAACACCACCACCACACTTTCATCACCACCATCACGTCCATCACACCACATCATTTCTATTTTTATTATTTTTTGAGTTACTATCTAAACAAGTTATAAGGTTTTCTATTCCGTAAAACTGTTTTTAGAATTATATAACCAAACAAGTTTTACGACACAAAAAATACTAAAAACAATTTTCTAAAACTCTTCCTAAAAATAATTTCCGGGTCTTGATTTTTTAGATGCAAGCCAAACAGGCCTTCCTTTTGCAATGCTGACAATTTACAATGTAAACAACTCACGGATTCAATATGCGTTGGCGGGTCCCGGCATGCTTCAAGCACTCACAAGGAAATAATGCAAGACTTGCGATTTATCATATGGACACAATGATAACTAGGGAAGAAATCAACCCAGAATCCTGATCTTATCACCTCACCATATAATGGGCATAGGATCCCGGGCACTTAACAAACATTCCATGTTTTTCAAGTTTGGTTATGATTACTAAACATATGCAAGTTAAAAAATTTCCTTTGTACTTGAGATGAGCCACCCACCTCTCTCGACATTCTCTATACCCACTTTCACTTTGAACCAGCTCAAGTTTAAAGATGAGAACAAAGACTCTAGTCCATTTTCTCATACTATGGCTCCTGCTAGCCACATCTCAACACCATTACACCATTGCTTCCAAGAATCAAGCTATGGAGTCAGGCAAGCTACTCTCTCTATATCCTTATTAGTTACACAATTTTGTACTATGTATAACACCATTTTTTTTCTGTTGAAGCCAAAAGGAGGAGAGTAACTTGTAAAATGACACTCTTTGATTTTTGAAAAATATGAGTTTCAAATGGAGCTTACCTTCTCATTTTGCATCTGTAGTTGATTTCAAGATCAAGCGTGCACAATACAGCTCAAGGTCGACCACCGGACGTATCCTAACCCCCTGGGTAAGTGCAAACTGTAGATCTTTCCTTTTTTGGTGGATAACTTTTGCCTATCATCTTTTGATTCATGGAACTGGCTTATAAATGTGAACCCACAATCTCACATGTAACCAAATTAATGACAATGTCAAGCAGGTAAAAGAGCAGAAGAATCGGAAAAAGCCATCTGGACCAAACCCAGTTGGAAATTATCGCCCACCAACAAAGCCTTGAATTGGTGAATGCACTTGTTTTGTCTCAAAAGTAGGTAAGGTGACCACTATATTTCTTCGTAAAGTGATGGATGTCAGACTTATTTGTATAAGGTAGAAAAATCTCGGTTAGGGTGTTTGATTTGAACTAAGATGGGATATTTACATTTTGAATTCCAGGAGACTTTAACCAACAAATGGCAGCAGAACTTTCAATGATGACATGCACAGCACTTTCTAAATGACTCCTGACATGTTTTAAAACAAAGTTTAATATGATTCCTAGCTAAAGCAATGAATAAAAGAATCTCACTAAGAAATCATGTTCTTATTTGATTAATCAATACATACAAAATTCAGCAGGAGAGAATTTATATGCATTGCTGCTGATCTGTGGCCAGAATGTGTTCATGTCCTTCGCCCTCTCATCTAATCCCACACTTGCAGAACGGGCATGTTTCTCGAGCATGCCACAAGAAACTAGTTACTAGCCTCGTGAGAAGGGCAGCACCAATAACCATTGTCTTTGGTTTGAATTAGCCAAGATGGTAGTCACGTAAAATATGTGGAAACATAGGGGCCAGCTGCTCAGAACCCTCAAGTGTGGATATGCAGACTTTACTGTACAGTCTCTGCATAGATTATGTCTCTTTATTTGGTGTAATGTGTACTACATTTGTTTTTACCATGAACAAGAAGTCAACACCTATGCTTTAGCTAATTAGCTGTTCAAATGATATACCACCATCCAAAATTAACTTCAAACCTGAGCTTCGCAGACATTGAAGAGTAAGAGTACGCCAAAGAAAAAAGTTTACATGCCAAGTTGCTGTTTTATGCTAGAAGTAGGCTTCACCATTTGACTATTTCTAATTTTCTTTTAGTAAGTAAATAGTTTCTAATTACCACACAACCTGGAAGGCCATTATTAAACGCATGCAAACATGGGTCTTTTCAGTTGTTGGAACAAGGTGTTGTTGAGTTGTGACTCTTGCCAGCCTAACAGACAAATTAGATTTCATAATTTCTGCTTGTAGACCTTATATGAATGAGTCGACCAAAATGACCACTATAAATTTATTATGATAAAATTTAAAATACACAGGATTCAATGAAACTACAAATTAGTATACAATTTCATTCATACCGGATGCTTCCGCTTTGATCGCTTAGACCTCCTTGGGCCAGAATAATCTGGAACCGATTTACTACTGCTTAAAGCATATGCCTCCTCCAGAACCTCCTTATCCTGCTAGAAACCCCGAATCAATTCCTGAACTCCAGACATTGAAAAATAAAACAATTGCGAAAGAATTTCCTATAATTTTTTAATTGAATATCCAAAAAACTATGATATGTTACTTAAAAGTAGGACCTAAAAAATGGTTGGTACCTGTTTTAAACAATAGGATCAAGACAATTAGCTCATACAAAACCTTAACCTATACTTTTAAGTTTTAGAAGGCCTATCTTCGCACAGCCAAAGTTGAGTATGTTGTCCGTAATAAAAGTTACAACCAGTACTCTTTGCTCTCAATAAAAATCAGTCCTTCTATGAATACCATAGCAATTTTGGTGCACTGAAGAGATTGGCACTGTGTTCATTTGATGCAAAATATGCATATATCTTTCTGCCATGTTCCAAGAATACCACGGAGTTATCATATGTCATACATTGATTACATACTTATTTGTCATAAGCAGAACCTTTTCTTCATATTAGTTGTTGCACACGCGCGTTGCACGTGAACAATTTTAGGTTATAATTTCAATTTTCATGTTTTAAAAGATATTGAACTAATATGATTCAAAGTATCAAATATAATGGTGAACGATCTAGGCCAGAAACATATAGGAGTAGAGAGCTTAATGAAAATGCGCTAATAGTCCAAGCAATAGAGAACTTTAGAACCATATTACTATGCAGGTGAAACATTGATATTGCAATAATAGGTCAGTGATTCATGAATTTTACAAATACAAACAATTGAAATTGCAATGGCATGTCATGATATCAATGATTCATACATTGCCACAAACAGATGCAGATTGATAGTAAAACCAAAAATTGAAAAAGATCAATTTTCAAATATGTAGATGGCAAAGAGGAACAATGTAGAACTTTATCCAATGCAAAGTCCATCTATCCTGATGAGATCATTCAGCCTCTAGTGATGTCAATGATAAGTGGCAATAAGTACATGTCTTATGAAAATAATCAAATGAAATGACAACCATGTTAGCCTAATGTAGTGGACCCATTATATGACCAATGCCCCCACAAAGTCATATCCAGGTCATGATCATTGTGCTCACTCAATTTTGACGCTTTCAAAGAGCAGTAGTCTCTTGGGGTTGCTATGATTCAGCTGAAAGACTTCAAATGATGCATGTGTGGATTGTACAAGCATGGTCGAGCTTCTAGAATCCAGATAGTCAATATGGATGTAAAGTTCAAATCTTCAACTCCAAATCCCATTATGATAAATTTTCCTTAACACAGCCCAATGAATCAAAACATGCAACTGAACAAAGTGCAAATCTCTGTACAAAAAAAAATGCTGCAATAAGGTCAAGTTTTCAATTATGATGTTCCCCACTACCATATTTGTATGTTTCATGCCTCAGGAAAACGAGGACAGTCCCTGATTTGGCATTACATGAGAACTAGGACTCTAACAGTTAGTCAGCTTAGCAAGACAAAACCCGTGCAAATCACTCTGTCGTCTTTTAAGAAGACACAAGTTGAAATTTACCTTTGACTGAGTCTCTTCATCTGAACCTTCTTCAGAATCAGATGCAGATAACATAGTCTGAACCTGTTCTGCAGGCAGCGTCTTACTGAATTTTTTCTTATTCTCTTCTCCTCTTAACTGTCTAAACCTGTTCACAATATGATCCTCATCACTAAGGCAACTTTTGAAGGAGATGATCAATCAAGTACAGAGACTCCCATCTATAATACCAACCCGTCGCCAGTTCGTTCTGTCTGAGAAGCTGATCGTTTTGACAACCTGCACTGATGATGCCACTGGCATCCTCACTCACAATAGGCTTTGCAGCACCCAATTTGTGTAACTATACTTGCTACGCTGTGCTCAGCACATTGTTTGTGAACCTAGTTTTCCCCTGATGCACTTCACAAATTAATGTCTTCCTCAAATTTTGTCCTTTTGGAAACATCAACTACATTTCCCATCAAGAGATTATGGTTAGTTTTAATGCCACAAAAATGTCTGTTGAAGAAGCTTTCATTGATAAATATTTGGTGCAGTGCACCAACTTTGCTATGGTGCAGTTATATATATATCAGTTGATGTTTGTAGAAAAAGTTGATGCATTTTCAAAATGGAAAATATAATTCTCAATATGAAGCTAATGTCAGTATCTCTGAAAGTTCAATATAACAATCAATTTTGAAACACATGGGACAGATATGATCTCAAAAATTATCATGTTCAATTGCAATCAAGAAAGTTTTGCAACAGACAAACTATACAGGAGAGAAACTTGAGACACTGATGTTGAATACAACAATAATAGATTATATTTGTACTTGAAAACTAACCAGTAAATTGACAACCCCGATGGGACAGACAAGGGAAAGTAGCTAATCATGAAAGGAAGAAACTTAAAGACAAGAAGCGCGTTCTTTCGACTCAGATCATTGGTCTGCCAACAAGACAGTTCAGAGCACAAATTTGGAAAGAAATCAAAGGAGAAGAAAATTAAAAAACTTGGTCCTTACTTGGGGAGGCTTCATAATCTCAATAGAAACATACTAAGAAATAACAAGGAGGACTGGTAAAACAAGGTACACTGCAGTGCCATGCCAACCCAATTGCGGATGACCGTCCTGCAAGATAGATCGCATGCAATAAGAATCAAATTATATGCATTAAGCTCATGGAATAACATGGCCACTCAGGGATTCATCAGTAGACACTTTCCGTCTAAAGCAACTTTACCCATACGAAATGGTAAAAATGAGACACAAATCATCCATTTCACTGGGACTGTTGGACATGCTACCTTAACCTTGGTATGCACTAGATAGGCATATGAAGCTACATCTGAACAAATAATAAGGCCCATTTAACCTTCCAAATAGCTGCCAAGTTTTCGCTATTGGTCACATTCAACCATTTCGTTTTTCAGAAAAAGATCATCTTACTCAGAAAAATATAGAAAGCAAGCCATCACAAATAAAAGAGAATAAATAAAATCTTAGTGCTTTTCAGGGGGAGAGAGGGAGAGAGAGAGAGTAAAACACACAAACTTCTTCCAAAAAATTAAAAGAGAACGGAAAAAAATTGTAAATTGCTAGCTTTAAGGAACTTGTCTTAAGGGTGGTATTACTTAAAAGGCTAAAGCATAGGAATGACATTTTATTTGAAAGTTAACTTACTTATCCCTTCAAGAACCAAAAAAAAAAGGGGCAGTGTGAAACTGAGATATTATACTAGAGGAATGAAATGTTAATCTATGAAGCAGCAGATAGCGTAGTAAACTTCATGAGTCTGCAGACTTTACCACAAATGGAATGAGCCAAAAAATTCCAGATCCGTTTTGTCGAGCAGCAATTGTAGTTGGGTCTCCCAAAGAGGGAACCCAAAAGAAACGTTCCTTCAGAAGTCCCTTTGAGCAAAATTTTGCAAAAACACAACAATTATTATTCTATTCTGCATAGATCCTCATCAAAATATTCGAAAGGCATTAAACTACCATCTCGTTACCTCATTTGCCACATTTGAAAGATCTTGATATAAACCTATCCAGACAGGTATTGTAGCCAAATTAGGGAAACATCATGCTAATTCATGGAAGAAAAAACACATTCACACAAAACGCAAATGTGAGCATGACGCAAATGCAACAACATACATGAGAGTAGGAAAAGGGAATACATAGCCTTGAACACAGGGAGAGTGTTCAAGCACATGTAGGGACGAGGGGTTGGGGGCATTTGAACGAAAATATATTGACGCAACAGGGCATGGGAATAAGAAATCATTGCATTGAAACACCACAGACGATAAATTTCACCAAATGGTGGTGAACAACGACAACTACCACACTAGCTCAAGCCGTAAATAGATCAGAAACTCGGAACAACAATTCAAATATTGTGTCAACAATCACCTTTCCTCACCAACACATTGGAATTTTTCCATCAGTTATAGCAGCCCTGTATCCAAGTGAAAAATGAATTCATTACGTCTTTGTCCCATTCGGTCAATACTACTTAATAATTTGGCTTCAAAAGTCCTTCAGAGGCAAAAGAAAACACTTCCCAGTAATATCATGCCGGATGAAGATTCAGCAGAGGACTCAAAAAAATGAAAAGGATGAGAGAACATGAAGGTGTTTCATTTATTACATTATTAGTAGCATGGAGAATGGAACATTCAAAAGATGGGTGTTCATGGGATGAGCATACAAGTCTTTCCTATGCAGTCCCCAAAAGAAAAAGAAAGACTTCAAACCCCGAACAACAGTTCCCACATTTAACCCGAACAATCCGAAGTTTACCTCAATGATTAAAGCATTTATAACTCAAGGCCCAAATCTGGCAGTTGCACACTTGACTTCAAGAACAAGCACCACATCATCTTTATCGACAGAAAATAATATGAATGTTGTCTCGTTTTCCAGCAAATTAACACCACAGCTTTTGGGAAATAAGGGCAGAAAATAACACAAGACATAACAAAGAAGTACATAGCACATCGATGATGGACAGACAAATAAACAAAAGTCATGTTTGGTGCAGCTTTTCAAATCATCTCCTAGGCAGCTTCCTAAAAGAAGCTTTTTATGGTTCGATTCCCAGCTTAAGTTCAGCTGAATAAGCTGCAGGAAACATGTCAATGCAGATTTCTTGAAGCTAAAAGTTATAAGTTGTCCAAAACAAGTTTAGCAAACATGTACCCAATACTAATGGACATATTAAAGATGTACCTGCGAAATGATTAACCCCTGCTTGCCTTTACAGATGTGATGTCTCAAGTTGTATTCTTTCCTAAAAAGAAAACAAAACACCACAAAAATAACAAATCTGCCAAACTTCATGTCAAGAAAGCAACAAAACAGTCTATACTTTATATGGATTTCACAATAGCAAGATCAAGATTCAGCAATACCTTCTGGATAGGATCCTAGATTTCAGGCACTTTCAATGAGATCTTTGTTATCAGAAAAGAAAAAAAGAAGAAAGAAACAAAGAACAAGCATTGTTGTTCTAATATTTTAATGTTGTTGTTTTTAAAGTTGAGAAGGAAAAAAAGCAATACTTCTTTGACAAGTAAGAATGATCTATAATACTATTATAGCCACACCACAGATAAACACTAACACTCAAGTTTGACTTTAAAAAAACCTTCATTCTTCACTCCTCATCTCACAATAATTATTTTTATGAAGAGAAACTTTAGAGTGGAGAAAAAGAAGAATTTTTCCATTACCCTTTTCTTTTTCTTGATTTGGTGTCTCTCCTATAAAGTTCAGAATACAGATGCAACTAGACCAAAACAGCAGGAACCCAAACCAAGGGTAGGGGCATAGTTATGCAGAGAATAACCGGAGATTTAGAATAACTAATACTAGTCAAATTTCAAATATGTGAGTCATTGATCTTGTTTTGAAAAAAAAAATTCAGGAAAGTTTCTCCTCAAGTTTGAATGCCAGCAAAACAACAGAATCAATACCATATACAACTTCTGTGTGGATCTCTTTCTATGTACAACTCACCTGATTTCCTGCATATCTTTCTTGGATTGTTTTGATCTTTGGTTGAAGGTTTCGCATGGCCACTTGGCCAGTGTAGATTCAACCTACATAGAGAGTGAAGATCATCACATAACTTACAGATAACGTCTCAATTAGTGCAATGGAATAGGGCGTCTATATGCACATGCACATGTCCAAAAAATATTTTCCATTTCAAAAAGTTCACTAAGCTTGTGCATAAGTAGTGAAGTGGCTGTAGAAAATAGGTATTTCTAAACTAGAGAGTGAAAATTGAAAAGTGGACATGTTTTCTGCTCAAATCACAGATCCAACAATACTTATCTTTTACTGTGTCAAAGGTAACGTGGCAATTTTAACAAGAACAGTGAGAAATATAATTACGAATCCATATGCATAAGGCACATGCTCAGCAGAGAGTCCATCCTTCAGTAACTGATATATCAGGTATAAGGTAAATGCATATGTCTATCCCTTGCATTAATCTTTCTAGAATTGAACAATACATTTACAAATCATGTGCGGACATGCCACAAGATCCAGTAAGAAGATAAATTCTCAAGAAACATTAAAAATACCTCAGGCAATGGCGCAACACATTGACTTATCCATGGGCCACATTACTGATTTGACTACAATTACACTACATTAAAGTTGCAAAAATCAAGCCTGTCAAACCTAAGCCATCATTTGGTAATGATTTTCAAAAATAATCTTAACACAGAACGAAATAGCTGTTGCCTTTTTTCATCTTTTTAGTTTAAAATGAAAGTAAAAGGCACAAAACCGAAAAAAAGAAACAACTACAGCTTTACCAAGAGTAATTAATTAAGCAGTACCAAACTAATTTCCATTCATGCACTTAATACTATCACAGTTATGTGATTATGGACGAACGACAGCAATGGCAATCATAATCATATAACAATGTATAATTTGTACATACAGTACAGCGGTGTCGGTAGAGCCCGAGGCAGCACCACCGGATGCCGAATCAACGGCGATACAGCACAGAATTCCCTACGCTCGGTCAAAAACTGTGTTGAGATCGATTTCGCCATGGGATGTCGAATTGATCTGTATTCTAGGGTTTATGGGGAGAGTTCGGTTTAGCTTTTCATGAGTGTAGAGAGGTGTTCATTGGGGGTTGTTTGTTTTTTTTTGTGCCGGGGTAAGCTTTGGAGTGGAGGGGAGCGGGAGAAAGAAACAGAGCCAAAATATTATAGGGGCCAAAGTGAAAATTACAAAAGTTATACTTGTGCGGTCGTATCTAAGTTTGATAACGTTTTTCATTATATGATTCTCATGTAATAAAAGTGATTTATATGAAATGTAGTACGTATATAATATATTTATACTAGTTATTGTTTGTGTCTGAAAGTATAAAATTATAAAAAATAGTAAACAATAAACATATTTGTATTCATATTCAAAATCAAATAAAAAATATAAAAAAGAGATAAAATAATTTAAACATTGATTTGTAGTGGAGGGTGAGAGGTGGTGGGGCGGCAATGACCGTGGTGGCAGTAAGGGTGGCGACCATGGTGGCGACGGTAACAGCGGTGGTGGTGATGTGGTGGGGGCAGTGGTGTTGACGGCGGCGGTGGTGGCGACGACGATAACGACGACGGTGATGGTGGGGGCAGTGGGGGAGATAGAGCTGATGGTGGTGGTGGGGACGACGACGATGGCGACGGTTGTAGTGGTGGTAGAGGTAGTGATGAGGCAGTTTCAAATACTATTTTTAAAAAAAATATTTATGAGTAATAATTTCTAAAAATATTTTTAAAAAGTCACTTTAAATACATCTTTAATAACCTATTTTCCTATTAAATTTAGGTGTTAATATTAGCTGTTAGATTAACTTTAAAGTAAAAATTTAAAGTGATCTCAACCGTGAATAACAAAAGTCATTTTGCTTATCTTTTGAGATTTAAATTATAAGCTATTTTATTATACAGACTAGTTATTGTCTGTGCCTGAAAGACACAGAGTAATAAAAATGGGTAAACAATAAAAATATTTGTATTCATATTCAAAATCAAATAAAAATATAGAAGAAAAATAAATAAATTTAAACATCGATTGTAGTGGGAATGAGAAGTAGTGGGCGGCGGTAGTGGTGGTTGTAGGAGACGGAGACGGTGATGATTGTGGTGGGTGGCAATGACCGTGGTAGCGGTGGTGACGACCGCAATGGTGGCGTGATAGTGGTAGTGGCAGTGGCAGTGGTGGTAGCGGCGGATACAGTGGTGGTGGTGGCGGCGGGGGCGGCAATGACGATAGCGGTGGCAGTGGTAGAGGTAGTGGTACAGCGGTTTTAAATACTATTTTTTTTAAAGTATTTATGATAAATAATTCTTATAAGTACTTTTAAAAAATTACTCCAAAGACACCATTAAAGACTTATTTGTCATATTAAATTAGAGTGTTAATAATAGCTGTTAAATTAACTTTAAAGTAAAATTTAAAACGATCTGAATCGCAAAAAATAAAGAATATTTTGTTTATTTTTAAAATTTAAATTATAAATTAATAATAGATAGTTAGATGCATATGTTATTGATTACGAACCTTGGTGACTATCCAGTTTTTGTTATTGATTGTGAACCTTCGAAGTTCAGAATGAGATTGACCATTATCCGAGTCAGTCTAGACTGCCCAAACAAAGACGTGCAGCAAGTTTCCTCTGTATACGTTTTGCATTTTGCAGTCATTGTTGACCCATTGTCAAAAGTATATGACTTCTACGGCAATTTTTCGGTGGTAGAAGCCAAGCAATTGAATAGACCAATTAGTTTTATCATTTGACAGAAACAATAATTTTGCTTCGAAACAACCTACCAGAAAGTCTCCATTTCAGTAAAAACCAAAACAAAACAATGATTAAAAATTAAAATTATCATGCATTGCTACGCTTCTTTCATTGTTTTTAATTGTTTCGCTCACAATCTCTTTATCCCTTTTAACTTGTTTTAGGAACGTTTCAAAAATTTTCATTTCTAACTGAAATTATATGCCGAAACTAATTTTTGATCTTTGATATAACCTAATTTATACTTTATTTCTCTACCAAAAGATATCATAATTATAACCCTGCAAGAAAGAAAAAAAGAGGAGGAGAAAGAAGGGGGCAGGGAGTTCAGAAGATAAAGATAAACTCCTACTCCCCATACTGATATCTGGGACGTGGGTGGGGGTATTAAAAGAACCATCATACAGGAAATGGAGATAGATAACAGTTGACGTTGAACTAGCTCGACAGGAAACAAGATTGTTATGCCATATGCTCCCCAACCCTTTGGAAAGGATGCACCAATATATGAATCCTGAGTGGTGGGATAATGGTGGAATTATAATTTCTATCAGCAATCAAAAGTCCTTCCACAAACATAGAAATCAATATTGAAAGTCAGCAAGTCACTCACAATATGACAACTTGTATCTAGCATCTACAATCTTTAATCTGACCTTGTGCTATTATTGATGATGAGACTGGACAATAAATATTTTTCTTTTTCTTGGTGGTAATAAAATTAAAATAAAAAAACAGTCAGAATCCAATAATTCTTAAGGTTAGCTGCTAATTATGCTGCATATACATCAAGCACAAATACATCCACAGAAAATAGAAAGCACAATTTGATACCCAAATACTATAACCTGCCTAATTTTTTGAACTACGAAAATAAGTAGTTATACTTTGGAGGCTCTACCACAAAACAGGGAAAACCCATTAAAAAAGCGACAATACTTCTAACTGCTACATCTATTACATATATCCCCATGTGCATCACAAAATATGAAGTGATATAGCACACAGTCTTTCCAAAAACCTGTGAAATCATAAGCCACTATGGAATGAAGTTGATGAATCATACTGATACTGGTACAGGTAAAGCAAATAACCAATTGAGGCTACAGAATTCTTACCATCAACACTAGCACTTCAACTTTTAAGCTCAGGAGCTACCCCAACTAAATCTATCCAATGCCAAAAAAAAAAAAGTCAAAACCATTAGTTTTGAGTAAAAAATTTGAATGATCGAGATTAGTGATGATGAAAAATGTGTTTTAAAGAAAATTTAGCTTTTTAGTGGCGGAAATTGACCACAATGGCTACCCTTACATTTCGCCAACAGATGCCTCATTCAAGACAACACAAACTCATTGGGAGGGCGAAGACAGACAGGAACCTCATGCTCCTCTGGCCCCACACGATGTTTTGGCACTTTAATCTCAAGAACTGTTCCACTTTTGTCAAAGTATGCTTCTAGCTTGGCATCATCTGGAATTCGGGTGGGAAGAGGAATTTCCCTTTTGAACTCCCCCGGAGGACAGTGCTCAGGTGATGGATCAGTAAGCTTATACGTTCGATCATTTCTGTGGATAAAGGGCCTGCATGCTGTGCTTATAGATGATATCTTCACTACACCATGAGTGAGACAGTTCCACCAATGAACTTTTACTCTTTCAGGATCAGAAAGAGGCAAGGTGACAATGATCAAGTATCCTTCTTCATCCTCATATATTGTTTTTGCAGCCATAACCGGCCCATATACATTCCTCATTACCCCACTAAACTCCTTCATCCAGGGTGGTTCAGTTGGATGGATCTCCGGATCTTGAAGTCGATCGGAATCTAAGATACTAGGCAAGCAACAATCTTCCCCATTTCCATTTAAGCAGAGTTCTTTCCTCTTCTTGTTACAAGCAGATGAGAGATCTATTCCATTGCCATTTACATGGTTAGTTGGCTGAGTTGACAAATTCAAGCCAGCTCCATTAAGCAATTTTTTTGAAGGGGGATGTGGAGTACTCTTCAAAGGTGGAAGAGGTCTCTCAAGCTCAAAATCTGTGTTTGGAAGGTTCCGCCATGAAGAGAACTCCCTTGCTTCAGGTGGAACAGAGAAATTGAGATCCCTACCTGTAAGTTCCATCCATTTTTTCTGCTCTTCTTCGTCAACAACCATAAGATTGGGTGATGAAACAAGTTCAATTCCATGCACACACTGAGGATTAGAAAGGCCCCTGTAGTGTTTCCTTTGCATTCTATGAGACCGCACAAAACCCTTATCAACACTAAATGGAAATGGGCGCTCGCCCTGGCGCGAGTGCCCATTCATATAACTCCTCAACTGCATCTTCCCTAATGCATTCTCAGGCCTCTCCTTAAAAATCCACATATAAATATTTTCCATATCATGCTGAACCAAGAAAACATCGAGCTGGAGATCCGACTTATCAAATCCAGACATGCCATTACTATCCTGAACTATATTGCACTTCAATTTGTCCTTCAAAACAGGCTTGAAGTAGAAACTAAAGAAGAACCAAGCACCCCACACACTGTCCAATCTCTTAGCACATTTCCGCCCACCCTTAGGCATATTAAGAAGTGTATCGGATTCATTAATTTGATATCCAAGGCCAACCTCTAGCATATCAAAAGGGTCATGGTTCCACGATTGTGGCGGTGGAGGACTACGCTCGGCTGATAACGGGAGGTTAATATCGGGTGGCCCAGACAAGATGACCTGCCTATTCATGTCTCGGTCTGACTCTTCATGAGAGGTGGCAATCGAATCCATGGATAAGAATGTTGATGGATGATAATTTTCAATTGTTAAGCTTGTGAGCAAATCTTCTCCCATGTTTTTTTCCTCTTATCCTATTTCCGTACTCGAGTATAAGTATTTACAGACAACCCAAATCAACAAAAGCACCTCAGAAAATTCCCATATAGACAGATCCCCAATTAATAGCCTAATTTCAACCTAGTATAGCTATGCTCTTATCTTTCACTTCAAAATCCAATCAAAGCAAAAAAGGGTATAGAAACCAATTCAACACTGTAAAGGGTAATAAACTTACCAAGATCAATAAATTTCTGTTCCTAAATAGCAGATGGGAGAGAATAATTTGGAAAAGCCTAATAATAATCTGTACAGAAGAGATGGTAGAAAATGACGAAGAAAAAACCTACAAAATCAGAAGCCATGGGAGAGTATCAAACGAAAAAGGATGATCACATGAGGGATCTAGAAGGATTACCTTTTGAATATTTGTTTTAAATCCACAAAACTGAGAAGATCTTCACAAGCAACCGTCTCCAATAATCTACACCTAGAGAAGGGGAGAGAGAAGAGTGGAGAAGAAAGACATTGAGGGTAAAATAAACGGTGACGGAGTCTGTTTGATGGTCATGGATCGTTTGTCTAAGAGTGTAGACGGAGTTTTTGGGGGTTTGTGACCGTAACGGCAACGTCTGATAAGCACTATTCCTTGGGCATTGGTGTGGTGGGGTTGGTGATAACGACGTGGAATCATTTAAAAAAGAGCTATGTTACATAACTCTAAAGCTAATACACATTATTTTTCATATGGGTAACTCTTATCAATTTTCTTTTTATCAAATTAGTGTGATAACGATGCGGATTCATTTAGAAACGAGTAATGCTAAAAAATTCAAATAAAATCTAAAAAATTATAATTTAAATACATATTATTTTGTGAATAAGTGAGTCTCATTAACTTTTTTAATAGGACTCACTCACCTTACACTCATCTACGATGATATACATTTTAGTTTTAATTTTTAAATTTCATTTGAATAATGTAAAATTTTTCTAGTATTATATAGATCTCCAACGTTAACTTCAATTAAATGGTCACTTAAATTTGAATTTTTTACCTAAAAAATTAGGTTAATAATATTTTGTCTCTAAATTATGTATTTTTTTTAATCAATTTAATTTTTATTATATCAATTTAGTTCCTAAAATATTTAATTTGTGTCATTTTGGTCTATACATAGACGGACCGTTAAATTTTTAACGGAATAATTATGTGTGTTGGACACGTGATACCGTCTAAAAAAATAACACGTAATTACTTTTGTTAAATAACTTGACGGATTTATTAATTAGAGATCAAAGTAACACAAATTGAATATTTTAGTGAGTAAATTAGCAAATTTGATATAATGAATATTAAACTGAAGAAAAATACATGCTTTAAAAAGCAAAAATATTATTAATCCTTAAAATTTTAACTTAAGATAAAATACTCTACTAGATAAAACTTTAACTTCTAAGATGTATAGAGCACTTTCATGATTTATTTTCTTCGTAACTATCTTGCATGCATCTTTCCAAGTGGGGTAGGCCAGTTGGCCAGGGCCTCTGCCTTCCATGTGGAGGGTTCCAAGTCCCTTGGGGCAAAAAAGTGTGGTTGTTTAGTAGAATAAGGTCTTAATTATTTGATCAACTCGTATTTAAGTCTCTATAATGGGTCTTTAAGTCTTTAAAAAAATGCAAGTTCTGATTTAAATGGTGTATGAGTTGAGAGATCAATTTATACACCCAAGTTTTGTCCTTGGTTCTATTCAAAATCACGAGTTTTAGTGACATACACGCACCTCTATTCGTTGAGGACAAGTCATGAGATTTTCCCACATCCAATAGTTTACATCAATTTGAAATATTATGATGAATAATTATATCAAGAAATATTTTTTCAACCTGTCTACCAATGTAAATTTGTTAATCTGTGATTAGTCATTATGTCTTATCCATTCTCATATGCAACAAAAAACAAGAGACCAAAATTATGTACCTTAAAATGATTCACTTGTAAGTGACCTGAGCATTAACTAATGATAAAAAATTATTAATAAAGTATTCTTAAGGCAAATGAATAAAATAGGAAAAAATACCACTAAATTGGAGCGTCTTGTCAAGAGTAAATATTTGATGTAACGGTGACATAATGTTATTAGTGCCGCATGATATTACCATCTAATTATACAACAATAAATAAGATTAATGAACTCTACTGTTCCAAAATGGAAAATGTGATTATTGGTATTCATTAAAATAGTAGAGTCTATTAAGTTCACTTGATATTCTATCACCTTTTTTAAAATTTTTTTTTTTTTATGGGAGGGAGAAGGGGGTTTGAACCCTTGACCTTAAAAAGACAACAAAATAAAGAGTACCATTAGACCAAATGTTCGTTTATGATATTTTATCACTTAGTTGGTAATATCACGTGATATTGATGATGTGGTGTCACATTTATATTTAATATTTTTTTATAGAGTAGAAGTCTAAATAATACCAAATATAATTTCATTTTATTTTTGCAAAAAGACAAAAAAGTTTAATGTCAAATTTCCAAATAAATCCCAAAAAATGAAGAATTTTTTTTTCATAAAAAGTGTGAGAACATGGAAGGATACAGCGTTATCAAACGGTGACGACTTCCTTTCTTGGAGGAAAAACAGTAAGTTGGATATATTCTTACTCAGTTGGACCTGTTGGCCCTTTCGAATGGGCTAGAGCCGGATTTTGGTGTAAATATTGAATGTAATCCTTATATTATATTATGTTAGTAATATTGACATGGCGTAATTATTTAATAAAAATAATAAAAAGGGTAAAATGTGATCCACTTTCTATCATTGAAGTGATTATATACGACATGGTCGGGTACTTAAGAGTTTGAGTGAAATCCATTAGTTGATTTGTCTACTTATTAATGGATTATTATACCATATAATATTGCTGACATGGTATAACGGTTACAATCAATATTTTTTTTTCACATTTTGTTATTGTGATGGATACCGTTTCAAAGTTCTTATATGGGAAAATTTTAGCCACACTCCTTCTACTATATCATATCTTTAAGGACACTCTTTTTATTTTTTGAATCTTTACTGAAGCCTTAACTAGAACATAATTTTATTAAATTTTACATGATATATTTTTCCTCTAGATAGGTATATCTTCAATGAGACCTCCTCAATTTTTATAAATTTTTTTACATATTAAAATTCTGGTCGATTAAAATTCAATTCGAATTGATTAAAATTCATTTTTAATCGGCTCGAATCAAACTTTAATCAATTTGCATTGAATTTTAATCATCCCGAATTTTGATACATAAAAAAATATAAATTTTAATCTACTCAAATTTTAATATATAAAAAATGAATTCTAATCAACTTGAATCGAATTTTAATTAGCACGAATTTAATAAGTAAAAAATATAAATTTTAATCGACTCAAATTGAATTTTAATCAGTACTAATAGCTCAAGTTGAGCTCAAATTAGCTCAAATTTTAATGCGTAAAAAAAGAAATTTTCCGCTTGTGTCTACCTCTTGTCAAGTATGCCCTAGCTGATTAATTGTCTCTACTATTATTTAGACTCCAAAAATATGCTCGAATTTTAATAAAATTTAATCAGCTCAAATCGAATTTTAATCGGTTTAAATTTTAATATATAGAAAAATAAATTTTAATCAACTTATATTTTAATACGTAAAAAATAAATTTTAATCGACTCAAATTTTAATCGAATTTTATGTAAAAAAATTATTTGAGATTTATGTAGTGGTAATTTTAGTATTTTAGATGAATTCTTTTTTTATAGAAATGGTGGTTAAACAGTAAGAATATCAGTGATGTTTAAATATAAACTAGAAAGAATATCAATTATATTTTGAATAATAGAGAGGTGTCTTTAAAGATATAGTAAACTAGAAGGGATATAATTGAAAATTTTCCTTCTTATACTTATATTACAAAAATTGGATGCGAAATAAGAGATATTTTTAAGGCTTTAAATATAGACCTTAAATTTATTTGGTTTTAAGTATATCATCTTGATGAACTTTGATGAGTTTAGCTACACCTTTTGTTTTTTTAATTATTGTTTTACCCTTCACATGATTCTACAGATGTGATTTCTTATCCTCATTTTTAATGTCTGTCTAGTGCAAGTCACTTGAAGCCCGAGCTCCTACGAGCTCAAGAGGATCAGCTCTTTGGTTTTTGAAATTTTAGAACAAATTAATTTTTGAAGCACTCATTTTGATCCAAATTTTTTATGCTTTTCTAGTTGTGTTTTGAATAATCATTTGTAGCATCTTGCGATATCAGGGGAAGAGTTTTAAGCCTAAGGCGAAAGATGATGCCGCTGGAAAGGAGTTTTTATCTTTTTTACGGATTCAGTCATCTTATTCTGTTGGTTGGAGGGGTTTTTGGGTTAAATGGGTTTGTCCTCCTTGTGGAGTTTTGAAGTTAAATTCTGATGGGGCCACAATGGCTAACTCAACGGTGGCTGTGGCAGGTGGGGGAGCAGTTGTGAGGAATGAATGGGGTAAAATAGTCTTGGCTGCATCTTTCTTCTATGGGGAAGGCTCGAATTTGTTTGCGGAGTTTAAAGCCTTGTGCGATGGACTACAACTGGTCATGCAATATGGGTTATCTTGTTATGAGTTTGAGATTGAATGTGATTCTTAGATTCTGGTAAAACCAGTTTTGGTACCTGCGATTGCCCTTGGAAGTATATAGGCTTGTTGAGGAAGATTAAAATCTTTTTGGATAGTTTGAAGTTCTGATTGGTTCATTTTTTTTCCGGAAGCAAATTCGGTGGTTGATAGACTTGCAGACCAAGCTGTGTTGACCAGGCGTACTGTTGACTACTCTGTAAATTTGAGATTGGTGCTGCTTTGGTGAATGACCAGAAGGGCCTACCTGTGTTGCGCAAGAAGAAGTTTGTGGTGTTTGATGATAAAGGCTAATGGCTGGTATTGGAGTTTTTTTTTTTTAAGAGTTGATTTTTTTTTGAAATTCTTGGAAGGTGGAAGATGACTATTGTAAGAGGCAAAAAAATTAACAATACCTCCTACGAGGAATTTGATGTGATCTTTTTGATAAGAAATATCTTTAAACTTGATATCTTAATCTTCTTATTCTGCAAAACGAACAAACTGCTCAAGATTGAAGTGCTTCGATCGAAGACACTTCGATGTTTAAGTCAATATTATAATAGAAACGTTTGCTAGAAGACAAAGAGAGTTCAACGTACCTTTCACCTTGTCTCATTTTGCTTTTTATAGACCCTGTTCAGTTAGGGTTTTCATGATTTCGATTCAAGGTGGCACACCTTCCCTTAATCAGGTGATTCTGTTTAGGAAGTTACTAAGATCTTTCTTGCAATTCCTTCTACTGAGCCTATTCGTTTATCCATAATGCCTGAATTGTAGGTATCTTTTTAACACCACATTACTGTTTTAAACAATTCAGTCGTGATGAGGACCGAGCTCATTCCTTCCTTTCTGAGCTTTCTGATCTGCTCGGTTTCTATTTGATGACAACTTGGTCGGATCTCATCCTCTGCTCGGCCGGGCTAACCT